CGGACGCTGCCTCGGGCCGGGATTGGCGGGGCTTGGAGCCCGCGGGTCCGTGGCCGTCCCGGGTGCTGCCCCCGGCACCGCCGTCCCCTGCCTCGCTCCTTGGTCGGGCCGTGCTCTCCCGGCCCCAAGGCCCTCGCAGAGCCCCTCGGGAAGCCCCCACCGGCACACGGGACAGGGGCGCAGCGGTTCGGGATCGCGAAGGCAGAGGGTGCGGCAACTCTGGGGAACGGGGAGCGGCGGCGACGTGTGCGGCCACCTGAACTAAACCGGGGAATGTACCATTCCTAAAGCACGACACTCCCCTTTACAGAGATCTCCTCTCCCCCTTCCCCCTTCTCACAGATTCTGATAAAGACATGTATACTGTGGGAATGGTCTCTTGAAGTACACCCTGTCCACAGACCCAAAAGCCAGGGAAATCATTCAGTTACAGAAGAACTGGAACATTAAGAACAAAACATACATCTGCAGCTTAGTGTAGTGATAGCATGATGTGAGCATTTTTGTCTCTTACAAATGTCATCACTGCACTTAGCTGATAATTGTTTCAGCATCAGCAGCAATAACATCCAAGGAAGAACCAGTTTTCTTTAATACCAATTAAATAATAAATTAAACTCCACTTACAAATATTCGGGATTATTATTGAGGATGTACTGTGTATATGCCCTTCTCCTTTATGTGCATCAAGAATATTCCATACACCACATACAGCAACACTTGCTGCAACGCTGCTGGCAGCTACAACTTCTTGGTGATTTCTTTAATATACCAGATGCACTGACAAAAATTCTTCACATTCCTAAGAACTAAAAATAGGGGGATTTCTTGTATGCCAGGTGATAGTCAAAATGCAGTTTTACATGTAACTGACCCACAAAACTGCAGGAGGCTAAGGACTTAGGTACAGGACAGGTTCAACAGAGTCTTGGGAAAAAACCTCTGCCTTCCTCAGTCCAAATCACATTCGCTCACGATAATCCTCTGGGGTGTGGAGCAATGTTTGCCAATCACCTGGCTGTGATTCCTCGCAGAAGCTCTAAAACTGCAGATATGCACATGCCAGTGGGAGCTGGAGCATGGGGCCACCTGGCAGAATGTTGGTGCCTACTCTAAACACGATCACCCCCTCTCTCATGCTCCAGTGACAATACTTGATAAATCTCCCTTGACTTAAGTGAAAGTCTGGATGCTTTGTTCAGGATACTACTATGGTGGGTTGAACCTGACTGGATGCCAGGTGCCCACCAAAGCCTTTCTAGCACTCCCCTCCTCAGCTGGACAGGCGAGAGGAAATACAACAAAAGCTCATGAGTTGAGACAACCCATTAACCCATTACCATCACAGACAAAACAGACCTGACTTGGAGAAATTAACAGAATTTATTACCAATCAAAATCACACTAGGATAATGAGAAGCAAAACAAATCTTAAAAACATCTTCCCCTCCTTCCTCCTTCCCAGGCTTAACTTTATTCCTTGTTCTCTCCCTCCTCCCTGCCAGCAGTGCAGGGATATGGAAATGGAGGTTATGGTCAGTTCATGCTGCTGCTTCCCCCTCAGGGAGGGGAGTCCTTGCCCTGCTGCAGCATGGGGTCCCTCTCAGAGGAGACAGTCCTCCATGAACTTGCCCAACATGAGTCCTTCCCATGGGCTGTGGTTCCTCACGAGCTGCTCCAGTGCGGGGTCTTTCCCGCAGGTTCCGTCTTTCAGGAACTGCTCCAGTGTGGGTCCTTCCCACAAGTTCAATCCTTCAGGAA